GTGGTTTTGAACAGTGAAAGGTCACATTCTAAGTTATGTTTTATGATATTTCTCAGAATCTCAGTGCCAGGCAGAGCAGCACAATGACCACACCTAGATTATAAAAGCTAATAAATGTCTTTGCTAATATCTGGCCTTTGAAGTATTTAAGGGCGTTGAGCTATAGTTTTATTTATGTGGGAAGTAGATTATAGTGAATTGAAACACATATTCTAGTTCCCAGAGACCATATTGCTGATGAGGATGAAATGAGATGTGAAAGGCTTCAGCTGCCCCATCTGGTGAGCTATTGATCACTGGGGTTCACTCAATTCATCTGAATGGGCAGATAATTATGTCTTTGTTGTGTGTCCCTTTAGGACAAAGTGAGAGCTAGACCTACCAGCAGGCACAGAAATGTTCCAAGTCTCTTCTGTTTTGCCACCTCTCCAGTATTTCCTAGTAACCTGGCTAAGGTGAGTGGAAGGGCATTTAAGCAGACAGGATTCAGGTGAATTGCCAGTCTCTGTCTTCCACAGAGGTCATCCCATAGCCTACGTGCATCTTTCTTTGGAAGAGTGACTACTATGGCACTTGATGAAAGTTGTTTGGGACTGAGACTGGCAGGATGCCTTTACCTGATGTTACAGTGACTGCAATCAAAGGAGGTGCCGCACCAAGAGATAAGAAGAGAATCCAAACCAGTTTCCAAAGACAGAAACAGATGTTCAAAGCTGATAGGCAGAGCTAGTTCAAGATTCAGAAATCAAGAACAAAGATTCCAATGGCAAAAGGAGTCTTGGGTAAACATCGTAGACAGGTGCTGTTGCCTACAGCTCGGTTTTGTGTGCTTACTGAGGTGTATGAGAATGGGCCAGCTTTGTTTCAAGGGTCAGAGATGGATGTTCATGTCCAGGATTAGGGCCACCAGATTTTTGTTTGTTTGGTTGGTTGGTTTAGATCCCTGCAGGCTGAAGCTGGGGCTTCCAAATACAAAGCTCTGCAATGGAACATTCTGGAGCTGGTGACAATGGTTAGCTACAGGGAGCACCTCCAATAAGCCAGGCAGCCTAGAAACTGCAGTGCTGGCAGAAAAGGGCGTTCAAAAAGATATAAAGGCCAGATCCAAAAATCCCCTTTCTTCAGAGCTTTTCTACCCCCCACAAACCAAAAGAGAGAGGGATGGTGCCCCACTGTTAACTTCCCTTCAATCTTCAGGTTGGGCCCTTCTGGCCCCTAGTTCCCTATAGCTGGTGGCCACACAGGAGTGAGAAAACCAGTCCAGCTGCATTACTAGCTGAAACCATCATGTCAGACTACCCCTTTACATGGCCAATTAGAAAGGAGATCCTCTGATTTTTTTTTAAGATTTTTATACGGGAATTGGGGGGATGGGAACAGTGCTGGAGAATTGGGGGAAGGGGATCAGACAAGTTGCTGTCGTTTTGTTCTTTAGTCTAGTTGTGGAGGATGTTGCTTCACTGGCCCAAGTTGGCACCATCATTGCGCTCTTCCCGGGTGAGGCAGATCAGTCGCCGGCTTCTGGAT